AGAGACTTGATGCACTGTCCCAGGGCAGTGAGAGGGGCTTTAGAGAAAGCAAGGAAGCCCAAAGTACCAGAAATAGCACAATTACATTCTGGCCAGCATCTGAAAGAACGGGACAGAAAAAGGGTGACGTTTCAGAAGGTCATCAGGATTACTTGATATGCTCCAGCAATACTTCTTGTTTTGCCATCAAATCCCCCATTTGCAAACCCCTTATCCATGATGGCCATGTGATTGACTGTCCCCATCAGAATGTTATGTCTCCACTCAGGCCAGAGTAGCCTTGTGACCAGGTTTTTCTAGTTTAGTGCTAGTCTAACAGCTTTAGCTTGAACACGAATGACTCCAGCTTAACTGTTAGCCTTGTCTGTTGGGTCTTGGTGTGGCTTGGTCCCAACACTGGCTTCCGTGTTTTACTGAACAGCTGCAAGGATTCTCCCAAGAGCTTTTGGAAAGAATATGGCTTTGCTGACATGTCTATTCTGTAATTTAGGCTTCTAAAATAAGGGAAAATAAATTTGCATTGTTCTAAGTGCCGAGCTAGTGGCCATTCTTTACAGCATCACTACAAAACAAATATATTTGTTTTTATCCCAGCTTTATGCAAGAACATAGCTGGGCATGGTGGTGCAGAACCATAACTTCAGCATTGAGGATCAGGATTCAAATTCAAGGTCATCCTTTGCTATGTAGTAAATGTGAGGCTACCCTGGGAGATATAAAAGTGTATAAAGAGAAGAGTTAAGAGGAGAAAAAAGAGAGGAGAGAAGAGAGAAGAGAGAGGAGGAGAAGGGGCGGAGGGAGGGCGGGAGGGAGGGAGGGAGGGCGGGAGCCAGAGAGGGAGGGAGGGGGGGAGAAGAGACAACAATCTTGCTCTCAGTCTGTTTTTAATAAAGAACCAACTTTGGGTAGTTGTAAATGAAGCCACTGAGTGCCCACTAGAGAAAAGATTAGAAGCTAAAACAAAATTAGGACAAACAAGTAGTTTCAGATTTCTGCCTGAGAAAGAAAAACAAGTTCGCATCATTTCATTTAGTGTGCGGCTTCACACAAATGCCAGAACTCATTTAATTGGGTCAAGAGAAACCAGCCCTCTTAAAAGGAGAAAGCTAGAAAATAGAAGCCAAGCTAACATGGAAAGCAGTTTTTGCCCAGCCTTCCATTGGAGAGACCGCCCATCCCGAAGCTGCCCAGAGCAGCACTGAAATGACATTCACAAAGCAATTAGGAGCAGGAAGCAGGTGGGCCTCTTAAAATCTGGGCATGGAAGGTCTTTGTGTACAATTGCTCCGTTGGAAGGATGGAGTCACAGGCTTGAATTTCATTGTTTGTTTCTTTGTGGAGAAGCTGAAATGGCAAGTCCACAGAGCAACAAATACTCATGGTTCTCTGAGACGCAAGCATCAGGGAATCATTAATCCCTGAAGTCCACCCATTCCCCAAAGCACCCAGGAGCTCTGCCTGCTCTTGGAGGTTTAATCAACTCCCAGAGCACAAGGGATCACATTCTGCTAATCCAGACCATTCTCAGGAGCCGTGCCTTTCTTGTGGGGGAAAGAATGCATTCTTCCCCAGTTACAAAGTAACAAACATGCAGCATACAAAGACTGGAAAACTTGAAAAGGCACAAGAAAATTAAAGGGAAAAAGATCGCTGTAATTCTAACTCTAATATATTGAACTATATTTATCTCGTGGTTTATATTAGAGCAGAAATGTATATCATAGAAAGAATTCTGAACTTTTTTTTTAAGATTTATTTATTTTATTTATGAGTACACTGTAGCTGTCTTCAGACACACAAGAAGAGGGCATCAAATCTCATTATGGGTGGTTGTGAGTCTCCATGTGGTTGCTGGGATTTGAACTCAGGACCTCTGGAAGAACAGTCAATGCTCTTAACCACTGAGCCATCTCTCCAGCCCGAAACCTGAACTTTTAAAAATGATTTTTAAATTAAATTAAATTAAATTAAATTAAATTAAATTTGCTTGGATATTGCTATGTAGACCAGGCAGGCACAAGTTCAGAAGTCCACCTGCCTCTGTTCCTGGGTGCTAGAGGTGTACCATCAAAGTCTGATTATTTTTATGTATGTGTCTGTGTGTACTAGTACCCACAAAAGCTGGAGTTACAGGTGGTTGTAATCTCTCTGACCCAGGTACTGGGAACTATCTCTGGCGGGGGTGGGGGTGGGGGGACAGCAACAGCTTAACTGCTGACCCAGCTCTTTAACTGCTGAGCCAGCTCTTTGTGCCTAGAGGTTTTAATGTAACTATAAATGTGTGACTTTAGAGCAAACTAGGAGCTGAGTGTGGTGACACACACCTTAGTTCCAGTGGTGACACACACCTTAGTTCC